CATGATGGCAATGTGGGATTTTTTCTAGAACAGTACGTCTGCTAGCCTCGAGTATTTAACGTGTATTATGCAGCAATGAGTGATTTCTGAATTCCACGAAAGGTATCCAGCGGGAGAAAAAGAATTGGTTCTCTCTTTGGCAATTTCCAAAAGCTTTGAAATAGATAAAATGTAGTCTGTGGTCTCTTCAAGTCCCTCCTTTTGCAGACACAGTCAGGAGTCTACTGTAGGGCGTATTGGGAAAGTTTCGCGAATATACAAAACCGTAAGAGCCTCACGTGCCGTCAAGTGCCACGTGGTGTCATGTGGTCACCTAACGTCCCACCGTCACGTCACGGTTCACATGAGGTCATGTGACACTGTGATGTTATCGAGGCTACATCCACGGACACAGACAAACTCCTGTTGTTGTTTTTTTTCTTTTTCTACCCAACTTCGTGCCATAGGTATTTTTATTTCCGCATTCATTTATTTATTTTATTTAATACCTGTAGCATCCAAAGTAGGAAGAGTCTCAGTAGGATGGGTCTCAAGTTTCAGCATCAACATAATGAAAATCAACAATCAGACTGAAGCGGACACATAGTAAGCTACTTATAATAGGCTATATGTGCTCAAAAACTCGCGTGCATATAAATAAAAAGCTTGAAAAGCTCGCCCACGTATAAATAACGTTCAAACTCACACATATATAGAAGCAACGTTCGAGCTCAAACACACATAAATAACAAGAAAAAAAACCGGCTCTAAAATTGCGCAACGAATTTACACAGAAATAGTGAATAAGACGTAGCAAGAGGCACACTGTATATAACTCGCTGTTGTTGTGAAAATAATAAAAAAATGGAATCTGTACTCTCCAATGTTGCAATATTCCATTCATTTATTATCCGTAGGAAAAAACGAACTACACAAGAAATAAGATTTCGGTGTGTACACGCTAACATTTAGTTCATGGTCTACTGAGCGCGATACATAAAACGGTTAAAACAGATATTGCGATTTTTTTTTCGATTTATGGGCATATTATACAAAATATCTTAAAGAAATTTTAGACGCAAATGCACCTATAGCAGGAAGCAAATTCTATTGCAGATCATCTTTTTGATAGGGAGACACTAGTGTATTTGTAGCTGCACGGCTTTCGAGCCTTTGAATTTTGTTCATCGCGCACTACTAAGACTGCCGTGCCAACACGCTCGACCACTTACGGATCACATGATTTGGACCGATATTTCTGAGCACGAGAATAGCGTAAACGTAAAACGAAAGCTCTTGCCAATTTTTCGACGGTCCAACAACGGCTGAAGGAGTTGGTGTTCGGCCAGGCATACCCGCCGCAAGTGCCATTATCGTCTACCTATAAATAAACATCCGTTGTATTTGCGCGATTCTAACGCTAACTGACTTTCCTCAAAACGTTTTGCTCTCGGATGACGTTGAAAAAATTTCGCACATCAACTGAAACTTCATTTGGCATGTACATGACTGTTTTCGGTGTGTGCATGACTGTTTTCGCTGTGATAAATGTACTTTGAGACACAAGTGATCAACAAACGCACTTAAGTTTCGACACATTTAATCCGGGCTTTGAAGTTAATCGATTAACATACTGGTTGTCAATTTATGCAAGATGAATCGCCCAGTTAGCACACTATAGAAACACCTTACTTGGCGCAAGCTTGGAAATCCTGCGATCATATAAGGGTGTTTTTGTTTTGTTTTTTAAGCTTTACAGATTTGTTTTAGAAAAACGGTGGAAGCGCTTATGTGGTTTCTGCAGGCGAGTTATACGGCCAGGGAGACTTAGTATAGGGGGTTAATCATAACGATCAGTCGGCTAATTAAATATAATTTATTAACTTTTGATTAGATAAATAAACATGTGGTTTCAATTAGAAACTTGCTAAGCTTCATCCGGAAAGCCACTAAATTAACTGTTTTTAGGAAGATATAAGACAAAAGCAGCATTTTACAAAAAAAAAAAAAAAAAAAAAAAAAAAAAAGCTCAGTTTGAACGCGGTTTTAGATTTCGGTTTCTTCTAAATCTCTGCGCCTGTGGTTCTGCTCCCCGGTGGTAGCGGCTCGAAACTACCCCCTAGCCTCCCTCGTAGCATGGAAGAAAATAGGGCGCACGCGTGTTGCGCGTCTCAGCCACCGTGGAGAAAGACCGCTGGCGCAGAGATGCGCTCCGATAGGAAACAGAAACCTAGAAACGCGTCCAAATGGACCGTTTTTACGGAACGCCGTAAGATGCCCCCCCGGCGTTGCATACTTTCAATAAGAGTTGATTTAGTGGTTTTTGATGACGCTGAGCAAGTTTCTATTTGGAACCACGCCAATATCCACTAATTAAAAATTTAATAAAAATATTTTACCTAATTAGCCGACTGATCGTCACAATTAGTCCCTATACTATGTCTCCCTGGCCGTATAACTGACCTGCACAAACCGCATAAGTGTAGCGTTCACGAATATTTCAAACAAATCTGTAAAGCTTAAAAAAAGAAAAACTAGGTCATTATAGTTTAAGTTTGTGCCTTATGCGGTAAAACAGTACCAGAGTACTCATGTGTGGCCATATAATTGCAATATAACTGTCGAAGTGCCAGGCTTTAGCCAAAGGTGCCAGACGACAATCAAACCACTCGCAGTTGAGCCTAACTTTAGCATTTGTTTGGAGAACCAGGGCCAAGATACCCAAATTTGGACCATGAAGAAGGTCAAGTTTGGTTCTATACCTTGACTTCTTGCTTTTGAAGGCAAGAAATTCCCGGTCAAAAACCAAAATTTAGCCCTAAGGTGTATGTTATCTGGTCGCCGACTTATTTTTAACTGACTAATTGGTCAAAAGTTGGCCCTCTTATGGGACTGTCATAGGCATCATATCCGTCGCTTTCAAACTCCGCATCAAGATGTTTACCAGTGGAGAGACATCTCGTCCTCCGTGACGCCATGTTTTCAAAATATCCCCAACAGCGAAGATTGTTATTTCTTTACCCTAAATATGCATCAAGACACAAGTTTATAAAACACGTTTCTCGTAGTTTTCAATAATTAAAACAGAAGTAGTTAGAAGGCTCTGTCTTCTTCGGTACTTTTTTTAACAGCTCGTTTATGCCACACGCACACACAAAAATTCGGAAACGTACGTACTGTTCCTGCATTCTTAATACTGCAGCACTGTCCCTTAGAATAACAGATGTCACAATTATATTTCAATGCGACGCGCCGGAGAGCCATACGAGCAATTTCAAAATAGGGCTGAAGCCCCGCCTCCCTAGCCTTGGGCAGCCAAAAGATCCGTCGATAACGTCAAGTACAGCGACTGTCTTTCGCGCTTTTCTCGCGCTTAACAATACTTGCGCAGCAAATGGTTTGGGTATTCGGGTTCACGGGGTAAAAATACTCTAGAATTCACTTGTAACTCATTTTTCTCCAAGAAGCTCCGTAGCTTCCCTTCAAGAGTAGAAGGCGATAGCGTTATCGGTCCCCGTTCGCATCGCCTTCTCGATCGTCGTGCAAGCGTGCACCTTGCGTGGCCTTATCAGTAGCGTGTCTGGCTCGTAAACGAAGGGTCCTGGGTTTGAGTCCCGGCTGAAATTCTTCAAATTCTTCTTTAAGGCAAATGAATTATTTCATAAAGTGAAATCATTTGAGACACGCGGCGCCCTCTAAATTCGGATTACATGTTAAGTTTTAATCACCTTCATTCCACGCGTGACGTCACATTTCACGTGAGCCTCGTGGGTTGTTTGAAGTTCCCGCGCGAGGTCATGTGACAGTGACATCAGGACCTCATGGACCAATGAGAAATTTTCCGTCACGCCGTCGACGCCGGTTTTTCTGCGACACGTGCTCCTTAACGCTATCGCATTAATACACCCGTTTCAAAAGTGCGAGTCATCTAGTGCTCGCTGCTTCAATTATTTGAGTTTGACTTGGATGAGGCACATGCTTTGAGCACGCATTGGTATTAAACACGAAAGTTCGTTTGCTGAAGGCTCGGATTCAATGATTCGCGTCGTGCTCAAGAAACGGCGACCTCCAATATTGCTTGATTTGGTTTTTAAAATGGTATATTGAATTGCCCAAGCGTATAGCGTTGCGTATTTTAATTTAAAAATCATTTTAAAAAAAACATAATAGCCTCCGGATTATAGGCCAATTCGTAAATAAGCTAACTATCGAAATGTGGAGACTATGACATGATTTCTATGCTTCACCAGTGTTCAATAGCATTGCATGGCGTATAAAAGAAAATTACCCGGTATAATATATGACTTACGTAAACAGTAAAACAAGCTGCGTACTATTTATTTCTGAAAATTAGCTGGGAAGGATAACGGCTTTAATTAAGAAAAAAAAGGAGGAGGACAGCATGAAGAAATGATTTTGTATGGTATACATATACAAGTCAGAAAAAAAGCATGTGGACTTTCTAAAGAAACCGTAAGTACACTTAAAAAAAAAAAAGACAATATAAGATAAAAAAAAATGAAGAAGGAAATTGGAAAGGGACAAGCTCGCTAAGTCTTCTGAACGATGCTACAGATGCACCCACTGACTCGGGCCTATCATTCGGTCGTGCCGCAACAAGATCGAATTCAAATAATAATAAAAAAACAAGGTGTTCTACCTGTAAAAAGCTTCCAACAAAAATTTATTTTTATTTTTTAGTTTACGTTACAATTTCTGGGAAGGTAAAAAAATTATTTGTGCTTTTACTACTGAACACTACCTCAACGAGACCAAAATCAAAACAAAAATCCAGACGACGAAGATGTTTTTTTTTTTTTTTTTTTTTCTTTTTGTGCTTCTTACCTGGAGTAACCCTCCCTATGCCGTCGCCAGCCTCGTGCAGAGCACGCGAAGCGACCGTGAATCAGGGAAGCGCTTCCGAAACAGATCAGCCCGCGGAACCGCTTCCGCAAACGAGGCCAGAGAGGCCGAACTTCTCGCGCAACACGCGTTCCTTGGAGCAAAACAAAAACCGCAAGATGCCGAAAAGGCGGCCAGAGCCGGAGGCGGTAAAAGAAATGCAAAGGAAAACAGACGAGCCAAACAAAACGGGTCCCGCCTCAGAGGTCGCGCTCGACGTCACTGCAATCCTCGACCGATCTGAGGGGAGGCCCGGAGGTAAGCCGAGAGGAACGGCGGGCAGCCGCGGCCTCCTCTCACCGATCAGCCCAGTCCAAGGGCGATCGGACGCAGTTTCCGATGCATTCGCCTCCCCCCTTTAGCTCCCAGTCGCGCGCTCCGCGTTCGAAGGAGTTGTCTGGCACCTCCTCGGTTCGCTCAAAACCGGCTCGTCAGCGAACAACGAGCCCAGACGCCTCCTCGTACGACGGATGGGCCACAGCACCCATTGGAAACAGGAGAAGACCACAGTCACCAGATGGTTTTAGGAACCGGAGAGTCGATGTGAACTGTTGACTAGTTGTAAATAGGTAGGTTTCGAGTTGAAACAGAAGGAGCTCGTAGGTTATATTGCAGCACCCCCGAGACAATTATGACGATCTCTTCGACGTTCAGGCGTTTCTGTGTGCTTCTAGTCTTTGCTGTGTTCTTGGGCTGCGCTCTGGCGCAGACTGTTGGTCAAGGAGATACGGCACCCAGTGTTGTCCCGTCGTCGACGACTCCATTGAGCAGTTCATCGACGACTCCGTCGACGACTCTGAGCGGGTCGACGACTCGGGCAGCAAAAAGGAAAACGACGACTACCAAGGACCCCGGTCCGGACCCCCGGAATCCGTTCAAGTACTACGCCCGGCGGCAGGAGAAGCTGGTCAAGACGCTGATGAAGACGCTCTTCGAGCACGTGACGCCGTCGTTTCTGGGAGACCTCTCGCATTTCAACCTGTCCGGCGAGTGCACCTACGGATTATTCAAGTTCATCTTCGGTATCAAGCAGCTTCGTCCCTGGGCCATCAAAAGTAAACGACGTTTTCTTTAACCCCTATTTCAAGTAGAGTTTCGGTGTTTATAACCAAAGTACCTGGGTCGTCACAATCTACGTTGTAAACCATGACTCTTGCATTCGTGCTTCTTCTGCTGGACATCACTACTCAATACGATAGCATCAGCCTAACCTGCCTAAACACTAACAGAGTAATGCCTAACATTATTTTCATAAAAATAACTTTCATCTGGAAAAGAAATTGAGTTCATAATGTTCCCTGGTCGTGCGAATGTTTATACAGAGGAAATTTAGCCAGCGTTGAAGCATGCCAACCTAAAGCCGGGGTCACACTGCTAATACGTCATACAAAAGAGGGTCTGCATACAGGTTCGAAGGCGAGTCGCCGCGAGATTCGTGCTTCGAATGCCGCATGGCAATGAGTTTAAGGAGAAAACGTGGCACGCCGCATTCGAACCGCAGATATTGCGATGACTCGTGCTTGCAGACTGCCTTTTGTATGATGTATGAGCAGTGTGACCCCGGCTTAAATCGTCGTTGTATGGATCAATCTTCAAGTTAAGTGTGACTTCTAAGCAGGTTCCGACGTTATGCAACATCGATCACACAAACTAAGAGCATGTTGGAACCGGCTACGAAGTGAAACTCATGAGCCAGTATAAAACTCAATACATTTTTTTTCTCATTTGATTTGAACTAGTGAAATTGAAGCATTAAAAATTATTGAAGTTAACAAAAATCGTGCCATCTGTCAATACGGACCAATGACCGCGGTTATGAGAGCTTGGAAATAGCGTATTGGGTTCAAAGAGTCAATTGTTATCGGAAGGTGTCACACAAGTTTGTTTAAAATCTCGCGACGTGTCCTATAGTTACGTATCTTTTACCACTTCATTGGGGTCTCAAGGCTAGCTGATTTCCAAGTAGAATGTGCACCGTTTCACAAGAGGGCCCTTGGAAGCTGCCAATTTGTTGGTATCTAGAGCCTGGTTCAGACAGTTGCGTTGCTTGCGTTCGGAGCACGGTGGTTCAGAGCGACCGAAACGAAAGCAACGACGTCGTGGGGAGAAATGTTCTCCGTACACAGCGCGGCAAGCGTGCAAAAAGTAGCTTCCCCGAAGCAATCATGAGTCGCGTTTTTTCCCGGTGTTCGGATCGTTGCTGTCGCATTAGTTGATCTCGACGCAAGCGACACAAATGTGTGATTTAGCCTTGAGGCTCGAGCCTCTCTCGCTCGCCAAAGTGACAAGCGCATGCTGTTGGACTGCTCTTTTCTTTTATATATCGCGCGATGGAGCTCAGACATTTCAAACACAGAAGTTGGACTGCGGCAACAAAACCGAGGCGTCATCGTCGCGAAAGGCCAGTCGGCACGCACCGTGTAAACTTGGGCCCACCTTTGTGTTTGTCGAGTGTTGAAGCCATAATTCGTTTTTTTTTTTTTTTTTTTTTTTTTTTACTAAATAAAACTTTTGTTGCACGACGTTGTCGACGATATATATATGTACGTTTGAAAACATCGCAGTTCTTAAAAACGTTGATCAGAATACAGTAGAAACAAGCCATGGCAGTGCTGCAAGAAAAGATAACTCCGTGTAAAAAAAAAATATGTACACTCACACTAGAAAAAAAGAAAAAAAGGTCACTGTTTTGTTGGCTGGCTCTGTGTTCTGTAGAAAAGGGAACTCTCAGAGCTTTCTTATAGTGTACGCTTCTAGAAAACCCAGCGTTTTTAACTTTCTGACACTACAGAAACAGCATAATTGTGTTCTGTCTTTATCTATTAGGTTAGTTTTACTGCTAACGTTGCCAGACATATTGTCTTATTTTTGACGCACGATGCTTCTTTGTTGTAGTAACGTATACTATGATAATCAATGTCATCGTTTGTTGTTTGTGACACTATAGTAAAGTCAACCAGCTGAGCAGCTTTCATGTAATAGATTAGTTATATATGTTCCGAATTTTCGCGAATATCATTGCTTGTCAGAAATGTCGCTAAGGACACAAATTAAGATTATTTATAGCCAGAATACGTTCCTCCGCCGGTAACTTCGAACTGAGCTCTGACACCTTACGTCTATCGGCGTGAAACTGCTGGGCGGCGAAAAATCTCAAATGAAGTTAAAACTAAATTTGGTTTGTTTAAACTTCCGTTGCCAACTCGCAACTTAAAGGGACGATGCATTGATTTTTATACTTGGCGCAACTACCACTTAGGACGAATCCCTGACGTTATGACCTACGAAATACGCGTTCGTTCTTCACCACGGTCGGCCATTGTCGCCATTGCAGCGATTGGGCACGGGCCACTGCCGGAATGCTTGTCGAGCTATTGATTATCACGAGCCTAAATAGAGTGTTTACACACGCTCGGGTCCAATCTATGAGCCGCATTCAAACATCGTCACTGGGGGGGGGGGGGGGGGGGGGGGGGGTAATACTGCGGCAGCCTAGTTACGTCATCGAGTTTTGCGAAGGGGATATTGAAAGAAAACGCCCGCAACAACGGAGTTTCTTGGTCAGTGGCATTGCGTGGATGTATACACGGGTTCCCCCTATGCATATTCCATTCACCCTTCAGCTGAGACTAGAAGCTCTGCCTTCAGCGCGAGCTTTCTGCCCTTGCTAACACAAGTACGAACGCGCAGGCAGGCGCAACAAAGCTCTGGGGAAGCCAGCGAGCTCGCGGTGAAGGCGGAGATTCTAGTCTCAGCTTAGGGTTGGTAAGCTCGTGTAAAGATAAAAACATTCTAAGCGAATATCGTGGCTCGGCCCCTTTACAGGGATACGGAAACGAAATGACGTGAGCGCGAGCTCTCTGCCCGCCGCTTCAAAGTCGGCCAGCGAGAAGCGCAATGTGTGTAGGGCTCGTGACGGTCAAGAGTTTATGCACGGTCTAGGGTAATAGAGTTGCGCGCCTTGCTCCTTGGTGGCGTGAACGTGTGACAATCTTGCCTAGTAGAAGTATTCGAGGGCGAGAGCGCGAGGTCGCTGCTTCGAAGCGTTCTTCCGCAGAACGAGCGCTCGCGCTAGAAATGCAAGTCTCAAAGCCAGGTACGCCCGCTAGCTCGTGCATGTAGCTTTGGCTGCAGTCTCAGCTTATGGGAGAACGGAGTATATTCACTGGCGGCCATAGCCGTGTGCGCGACTGCTGAGCGCGTGCTCGTGGCGAGCTTCCACAGTTCTCTTGCAACGTGCATTTCACACCATCAAGATTGCCGGTCTTAGCAACCTAGTAATGTGAGTTCGTTCTGAGCATGAGCTCTAAACAGCACCCACAAATATGGCGTCCAGTGAATACTCCCTATAGTAAACGCGTTACCGTTCTCCGCAAGACACATTCAGGACTATACTTCGTCTCACCTTAGTATGGACTATTGTTAGTTACGCGTGCTAAAAGCGCGAGCTAGTCACTTTAAATGAAGCTGCGTCGGCTGAACGAGCGCTCGTGCAGCAAGGGCTTTAGTCAAGGCAGTCAAGGCTGGCCGCTCGCGCTAGCACAGCCTTCGCGGTTAGCCCATGCTAGGGTGAGACAAAGTATAACACCCGATTCACACGGCCAGCATAAAGGTACCTTTAACATAGGTCCCTTTGCTATCGGCGAATCAGTCCGCTCTCTTGGGTCGCGAGCACAATTGTCACGAGCGGAGGATCGCGTGACTGATTCGCCGCTGACCACAAAGGTTCCTTAGCTAAAGGTACCTTTACGATCGTGTGAATGGGGTAAAAGTAACTCCGCGAGCGATCCGCACTGCGGCGAACTGGCGCTGCTTCTTAGGAACTCATGACGTCACATCATTTCAACGTAGCTTCACAGACCGCCACCGGACGCAATTTTGAAATATGCTCATTCGTTTCAAAATTAGTTTTCTCAACTTTCTGCCTGCAGCTCAGAAAGACTTGTCTAGGCTAGTGTTTCTGGGCTGTGGGCACAACAGAGACCACATCTAATCGAGCCAATAAGTAAAATTTTTTTCGTTCTTGCTTTGCTATTTTTTCTTGGGCATTATTATCGTCTAATGCCGTAATGTCATGAACTGCTGAGTGATAATATAAGATGCTCAGAACTAGCAACGCCCTGTGTTTCTTTGTCTGTTACTGACTACAGCTGTGTAATTTTGACCCACGTCAATTACAATTTTAGGTATACGTTAGTGGGCAAGTACGAAAAAATTAATTTACCTAGTCGAATCGCTTTCACGTATAGCATAATACCGAGCTGCTCAATCGGCGACTCGAGCGTTTGGATGTTAACGGCGGTAAAACTCTAGTTAGAAAATTACCGGCGTGTGCGGTAAGCGCGCCTGAGTAGCTCGTCACACTCGAGAAAGTTCGCTGTGACGGTCAAACGGGAAAAAAGAAAAGGCGCACGCCACGGAGCGTGTCGTAACGTCAGTGAGAGGCGCATTTCCCGGGCCCCGAACATCCCAAGCTAGACTCGCAATTAACCGCACCAAGGGCTCTCTTGACTCAAGCAAACGTAACTTGTCTAGCTCACCGATTACTCTCTTTTTTTTTTTTACTTTTTCACAATTTACACGATGAAAAGAAAAGTTTGTGAGTACACTTTCTTGCACAACGCGCAGAGAGCGAATCACGGGCGAACAAAAGAAGGGTTCCAGCCAATGACAAAGTTCAGAATAGGCTAGATGAGCATGATGTTTCACCTGCTCATGGTTCGTGCACACGTCGGATGCTCCAGATCTAATCGCATTCTGAGCTTCGTCATTGGCCGGGAACCTTCTGTTGTTCGCCGCGATTGTTTGTGCCCGTGCTGTGCGAGGAAGTGAACTCACAAACTTCATTTAGGGCGCGGAGGATGTGAATACGAGCGACGAGTTAAATAGGTATAACACTCTAAACAAAGCCCGTGCGTCTACTTTCCCTCACAACACTGGGAGAGCCAATCAGCGCAACTTACGGAGGCAGCTCAGCGAATGACGATGCCAAAACATATGTTTAGACCAAAAAAAACGCAGTCTGAGTTGTGACATTAAGGAATGCAAAAACGTC